TGGCTGGGGAATTCTGGGAGCTGAAGTCCACATATCTTAAAGTTGCCAAGGTTGAGAAACAGTGGTTAAGAGAGATCAGATCCATTAAGGTTTTAGCTCATGACATAAATGATATATATTTCTCAAATATTTTGTTGGTAAGTCACTTATTTGGTTCAACGAGACATTCCAGTGCTTGTTTATATCTCACATTTTCTATCAATATATCTGCAAACCATAATTGTTTGTGTATGCTTGGACTGATATACTTGGATAAGATATGCTTGGATGTGCATCAGGAACTTGCAGGGCAGATTTCACATTACGTTTATAGCTAAATTAATCTGGTTAACATCATGCTACATCAAGTTTCATTACTGACAGAGTGCTTTAATTCTTCAGACCAATTTAGGTATAATGTGGGACAACTGTAATAGAGCCTACAGTTTTCGGTTTGCTATTTAGCAACAGTAGAGGATTGCTTTGAAGACCTCTAGCTTATAATTTTTTAGGAAAAACAAAAACCCTTTTCTCCCCAAGACATTTCTCTAGTGTAAATCACGTTGTTCCCTGACCCCTACAGCAATCAGCACTGGGACAGGACAAAACGGAACAGACAGACATTTTCTGTTTTGTGGAACTGATAGCAATGTTTTAACGGGGAGAGTATTATAGTTTCACTGTGTTAATTATATACTTATATATAATATTAATAAGTATATAATTAACACAGTGAAACTATAATACTCTCCCCATGAAAAAGTTGCTATCAGTTCCACAAAACAGAAAATGTACGTCTGTTCCATTTTGTTATATACTATAAATATAACCACTATTTCTGGTTATTGGAAGCCATTTAGGATCATTAAAAAAAAAACCTAAATAGCTATCAGATAAATAAAGAAGCCACTTTCCAGATTTTCAGAGTAGCCTTGCAAGATCTTTGGCCTTATGTCCAGATTGGCCTTTGGTCTGTGCACATTCCAAGAATTATGAAAGTACTCATGATCATTCCCTTTTATATTATATATTCTTGTGTAGTCTTGGTTGATTAAAATAATGGAAATATTGTCTATATAGTGCTAGATTTCACTTTCTTTTGGTGGATTGGGAATAATGGGAGACAAAATCCACCACCATCTGGAGCTGATTAAACAAAGCTCCTGGTTTGGTAGATTAATCATGGGATAATCTTGGGTAATTTAGCTTCAGTTAAACCTACTAACTCTGTCAATGAATCCTTTTATAAAATGGAAACAATCCCCCAATTCATAGAAGAAAACAAGAACTGGAATGCTTAAAGGGAAATTTCTGACCCTTTTCTCTGGAAAGTTCATTGACTTTAATAGAACCACAGGATAAATGGTTAGTGAATCACTTCTTCAGAAGTGATTAATACCAAAACACACACTGTAGAAAAACATAGACACACACACGTATTAATAAAAGCACATCCATGTGTACACAATTCGTTAATGACACTTTCAGTCATTCAGTTTTGAATCAGATGCTTGTGAAATGGTTGGAAGCTCATAAATGAAATGATAAACTGTGGATAAATTTTATTGCTTTTGATTTTATGAGGTTGAAAGTTTCATTAGTAAGTTTAGAGTATTAATGGCATCTTTTTTCTTAAACAACTCATCTAATACATGCAGGATGAGCCTTTAGGTTTTATTTGGGCATCCGCTTTAATTACTGACCAAACAATGCTGAGTCTGGTCAAAAGTTATAATACGTGCTGTGCCTATCCTTCTCCATTCTGAAACACTGGAAGATTGATATCCTTTAGCATTTTTGCTGCTAGCTGATTTTTATTTTGTTGTTACAACAGTCATGGCATTTCAGAGTATGTGTCTGTGTATCATAGAAGTAAATTGACAAAACAATTCGTTTAAAAACAGTAACGCTACCCCACTTTGGACTTCAGTTAAACAAATCCTCTGCTCTATTCTCCCATCCTGCAAACTTTGTTGGACCCTCATGCTGGATTTTCTCTTACAATGTATAGGATCCTCATGCTGTTGTACGAGCCACATTGGCCTTACATATGTGCAGCAACATAACTTTGCCTTTAATTTATTGCCTGCCCACCAAATAACTGATTACATATTCATCTGTGTCCTAGAGACAATAGCTTTTCTGTTGTTTGTTCTTCTTCAGGGATTTGTGTTTCATTGATTCATTTCATTAGTTATTGTTTCAACTCAATTATCACACACTGTCATGAAATACATATTTTACTAAATAATACATATTTGAACAACATTTACTTTTTGACAATAAGCTGATCACCTGTGGATGCATTTACTTACACTTATTCACCAACTGGTTCTAACCCCTTAAGGTCATTCTTTATGTCTAGCTGAAGCTCTACACAATCATAATCAGCCTTAATTAGGCATGTTTACCTTATCAAGTGCTGCTTGCACTATGGATTCACTCTGATTATCTAGAGCAGAGGTGGCTTCATCCAGCAGCAAGATCTTGGGGTTTCTGGACAGGGCACGAGCAATAGCAATACGCTGTTTCTGACCCCCACTGAGCTGGGCTCCTCTTTCTCCAACCATGGTATTAAATTTCTGGGATATTCAAAATATAGAGATGAAAACTATATACGCTCATATGTGTTTCTAAATGAGAAAAGATTACTAGCATTCAAACAAGTATATTGAATATATTAGCCAAACATACAATATGTACTGCAGGTGCATGTGGACACACATACACAATTTTGAAGCAAACAGATTACTTTCTATCTGCAGACACTCTTTCTCCTTGAATATAGAGATAGCTTTGTTGCTCTCGGCATTTGGATCAGATGAACTGTGCCAAGAGTTTATCTCTCAAAGTCTCAGGGATAGCTTAATTAACAATGACATGAAAGATTCTTAGAAGAGAAAAAGGAAGTCCCCTGTTGGCATGGTCTGAGCCACATTCATTCATTTGTATAAATGCAGTCTAAACACAACATTTCATTGCTCTACTTCTGAGCTATTGCATTGACTCTGAATGTTTCCTGTGTTATTAAAGATTGCAATTGCTCAAAAGAGGTTTTCTCTACCCAAAGGAAGTAAATGAGTATACACTGATACACTGATGCACAAAACCACCTTATAATTAACCATAATTAAACAAAGCCAAAACTATAATTAAACAATGACTGCAAGAGCTGCAAAAGTGAGACGGCCAGCTCAATCTCAATTACAGCAAAAATTCATATACAATGATTGAATATTCAGAAGACATATCAGCTAATAATTTCATTCAAGAAAAATTCTGGAGCACCCATGTAACCAGAATGAGTGTGCTTTTGATACCCTGTTTATGTAAGAGTCTGCCAGTGAAAGGTGTATGATCCAAAGGTTATTCTAGCAAGAAAAACAAAGAAAATTGTATAATAACCATAAAGAATTGACCTCATTCCAAAATATCATGGCTTAGGAGAGAAAATGAGCTTCAAGAAAGAAGAAGATGGGGTGGGATTCCTGAGCCTGGGGCCTCTCTGTAGTCATTAGGCTGACTGCCACTACAGAGACATTCTGCATTTCTACCACACTTTGCACCCTCTCAACTTTCCAGATCATTTTTAAAGGTCAAACACCTAATATAATAGATGATCTCTGGATGATCTACAGAAAATTCAATAAAGATTACTGACTTTTAATTGGCTAAAAATTACAGAAAGAAATTGATTCCCCACACTAACCACTCTAATTTTTACAGATGAATGAATACAGTATGTATCACCAGGATTTGTGTGTCTGTATGCAAGGCCTGTTAGCACAATTCTGCTGTTGAACTCAAAACAAAGCTCAGAATTATTTAATCTGATGTTTTTTGCACCTGGCTCTATTTGGGGGAATCATAAGTCCTACTACAGAACAAAGAAGACCCTACACACCTATATTTTCTTATACCTGACAAGCATGATATTAAAAACATGACCATTGTTCATAATCATGATGTTCTGATATATTGAAACACTCAAAGGGGTAAGTACTATATAGCTAATAATATTTATAACTTCAAATGATCTATATCAGATATAGTACAATACTGTAAAGATTAATAACAGGACAAATTCTGATTTATAACATCAGTTACTTCTTCATGGTTCCAGCTATCTAGCAGGAATGGACAACTGATGATTCATAGAATGCATGGAGCCAGAAAACATTGTTCTCTGAAATAATGCTGTCAAAGGTCTGCAGGAACTCCTGATAGGTTTAATGAACCTACATTAAAGAAAAACTCAACCCCAAATACACAGAAAAAAGAAGGGTAAATTGCAGCTCCACCAGTGTGTTACCACCAGCTCCTCCATGATCCTTAGAGATTAAAATAATAATAATAATAAAAATATGTCTCCTATCCTTAAAAAAATTCTCACCATCATACGGTGATAAGTTCATTTTGATAAGAGAATTTTAACAAAATTGAAGAGCCATAATCATGTTTTAGTTTGCAGACTACTTCCAGGAATTAACTTGCCTTTTTCATGATTGCCAAGATACACATCACACATCCATAAAAATAGAAATGTGATGACCTATGAAATTTAAACAGCTGTGGCAAGTTAACATGAGTTTATTATTTGTGAAGTTCAGTATCAACTTCATTATTATTTATAAAATTTAACTTCAATTTCTAAATATATTTATTTGGTTAATAACTTCTTCATTCATCTTTGGCTCTTGCCATGTTAAATACAATTTACTTTAGGGACTTAAAAAGTTATCAGGTTAATGCAACTCCCTAAAAAAAGATTATTTCTTAAATAATGCAGACTCCTGCATATTTTATTAAGAAAAAAAGAAAAGAAACAATAATGTCACACAGGTGGAAGGTTATTCATCTCAAAACAGTTGTAAGTATGTAAGCTCCCAAAAATTTCTGTGTCACTTTGTTTCATTTGTTATAATTTAACAGAACCTTTATGTTTTTAAGTTAAACCAAGCTCATACCTTTTCAACAACTCAGGAATTCCTAATACTCAGTCAAAGTACTATTCATCATCTTTAGCTCAGAATATTTTTAGTATAATATTTCTTCTATGCTTTATGGATTTTATTTTAATTTCTTCATTTGATTGTCATGAGCCTCTCAGAATTGTTGAGCGTTGGGCATTATACAAGTTTATTTAAATGGGTTGGGTAATATTACAGAGCATGCTTGAATGAGAAACAAAACATGTAGGGGGGGTTGTAAGTGAAAAGTGTGCTTTATTGTTCACCAGTAGAAATACATTCCACTTCTGTACCTGTATGTTCAGCTAGCAATGGAAAAAGATCAGAGGAACAGCAGTGTCTATGGGGAGAGGAGGTCAAAGCAGGCCAGATGGCAATTGAAACATTGCAGTTGAAGCTCTCTCCCTTTTGTCAGTGCATACAAAGGGGTGGGACTTTGATCCCAACACCGTGACCATCATTCTGCCTCTATAACAGTGTTTCTCAGCCTTAACAAATTGAAGACATGTGGGCTTCAACTTCTGGCAGTTGAAGTCCACATGTCTTCAAGTTGCCAAAGTTGAGAAACACTGCTCTAAAAGCTTCCATGCACACATCACTGCTCCCCTATTTTTAAAAATCACTGTAGACATCTCTACAGTGAGGGATCCTGAGAGTTATTCGTTTAACAATGTCTGGTTGGCTGCAGATGCTCTGTACCTCTGAAAAAGATAAAAGAAAAAGATCATCCAAATGAATCAGCTACATAACAAGGTGTCAAGCGTTAAGTTTAGTTGTATGAAACTGGCTTCAATAAACACCTGCTCTACGGTAAAGTACATGGTGCTTAAGGAAAAATGGGTAGTAGATCTGAAAACCACATACCGTAAATTGAGGGGGGAAGGAAGCAAATGTTTAGGTTAATTTTTTTCCTATCTTTACTACAGTTCCATCCTTACAAGAATGTGGAAGTTGAGCAACTTACATCCGGAAGTTTCGATATGAAGTCATAAGCATTTGCTTCTTTGGCTGCTTGTTCAATTTCAGCATCAGTAATATCTTCTCTGCCATAACGAATGTTGCCTGCAATTGTGGTAGCAAACAAAACTGGTTCTTGGCTTACAATGCCAATGTTTTCCCTCATCCACTTGATGTTAAGTGTCCGAATATCATGCCCATCTATAGTAATCTGAAGGAAAGAGGATAGAAGTTTGTAAGAACCACCAGTGTAGATGTTTGATTGCTAGATTCAGAAGACTTTCTTAGATACTGTACATTAGAACAGTTGTTACTGGCATTGTCAGCACTGTTTTGGTTTTTTATTTGAAAAGTCAAATCCAGAAGCCCCAATAATAAGATGTCACAGTTGCCCTTGGGTTAAAACAAACCTGTCCTTGTGCTGGATCATAGAATCTTTGCAAGAGTTGAATGGTAGTGCTTTTCCCACAGCCACTGGAACCAACAAGAGCAATGGTCTTCCCGGGTTGTATTTTTAAATTCAAACCTTTAAGAATCTGGAATTATTCAAAATATATACAGTATATTTAAAATACAGGAAACTTTAGCCACCTCTCTGGCTTAATATAGTATATATCACGCCTACAATACAGGAAAAACAAAGATTGCTTCTTCAAGATGATCTAACCCATTTTTAGTCAGTGAAGACATTTTAAAAATGAGGGTCTCATTTAAGACATTTAATAAAGATCCTTTATCTTCTATAAATACGCCTTTTTATTACTGCTAAAATATTTTTATTTTGTAAAGAAGCTTGTAATTATATATTTTAAGAACCTTTCCTTGATCATACAGAAAAGAGCCTTAAACATTTCTTTTACACAGATATCTGCATCCACGAAAAAGAGGAAGAAAAAAATCTGTCTTACTTGAATATCAGGTCTAGAAGGATAACTGAAATGGATATTTTTGAATTCAATTTCTCCTCGGAGTTTATCTAGCTTGAATCCTTCAGTGGAACTGCTATCTATGGGGCGGGGCTGGAAAGATATGGGGAAGATATCTATAATTTCTATAGACACAATTTAAGACAGGCATGTTTTTGTTCAATGTTAAATAACATTGAGATTTACAGTCTGCAAAATGATACATACTTTGTTCTCTTCTTACAGTGTTGCATTTCTGAGAACTATAGCTGCCATTTCAAATAAGGAGTTGGGGAATAGATTTCCTACAGATTTCAAAGCCAGGACTTGGTTATATGAGAATCAATAGCAGTTAAGGCTAATTAGGGGTAACCATGTTAAGGATGCCCTCTGCGGTTGCTGTTATATTCTCATAATGAATCAAAAGACTAAGTGTTCTGAGACTTAACCATGGGTTGAAACAAAGGTAGGAAGCAATTCTGTTCTTGCCTTCTGTAAATGACACTTTTGTTCATAACTACCAAATAGATAATTTGCTATTTTAAACTTAGAATAGTAAAGGAAGGAATCAAATGGAATATTGTTGAATTAAGACATCTTTTTCAGTTCATCCTCTATTTGCAGTGCTGAAATGCTGAGATAGTTTACAAGCTGTATTCTCATATTATTCGTGTGAATGTGCTAAAGAGGGCAGTGGAGCTCTAGATTTAGCCTTTGAAGTCACATTATTCTCATGCCACTATTGCCATAGACTCCTTTTTCCAAAATAGGAAACTCCCACGTGATTTAGATCAGTGTTTTTCTAACTTGGCAACTTTCAGATGTGTGGACTTCAGCTCCCAGGATTCCCTAGTCTTAAAGTTGAAAGTTTGAAAAAACACTGATTTAGATTCATTTAGATTTAGATTCTAAATCCATTGACAAGGAGTTCACATTGTACCCCATTGCTTCTTTGGCCATGGATACTCTGTTCATGCAAGTAATATGCCACAAGGTTGTTATTTCACTTATTTCAGAAGATGCAAAGAGATACACAACTGAAGCGTTCAAATATCCACAGTATATTTATATATCATAACCCATATATACCTTTTTGATAATTTTAAAGACTTCATAGGCTGCTCCACGGGCATTGGCCACAGTCTCCAAATTGGGAGAAGCCTGTCCAAGGGAAAATGCACCAATAAGCACAGAAAAGAAAATCTGTTAAGGAAAAGGGATGAAATGGTTAATATAGGCGCTCAATACTGTGGCATCAATTAATAAGCCAGCAGACTAATTAACAGCCAGTAATGAGGATGCCCAGAGTTATAGTGCAGCAACTCTGGAGGAGCATGGACTCCCTATCCAGAGTATTGTTATAATCCTAGATATCTCATGGTTTGATTTAAACTGAAGAACCAACTTGGTCTAGTGGTTAAGGCATCAGGCTAGAAAGCAGGAGATGGTGAGTTCTAGTCCCGCTTTAGGCATGAAAGCCAGCTGGGTGACTTTGGGCCAGTTAATCTCTCTCAGCCCAGCTCACCTCACAGGGTTGTTTTTGTGGGAAGAATAGGAGGAAGAAGGAGTATTAAGTACTGTATGTTCACTGTCTTGAGTTATTTATAAAAATAATAAAGGTGGGATAAAAAAAAAACCTAAAAAAATTTGGTAACAATTCATAATATGATTATTTCATATAATCAGGCAGCATTGATGTTTTATTTAGATCTGTTTTAATGAATTTTATTCTGATTCCAAAGGAGTTTTCTATAGTAACTCCAGCAAGGATAATTTATGGTCAGTAATATGATTTTCAGCATAGATCATCTTGCTGGGTATGTGCTGCAAGAAAGCCATCATGTTTATATGCTCTATAATACATTCCCTTAACTATTGGAGTCTCCCCCATCCAGAGGTTATTGTTGCCAGTATCTAACTTAAAGAGGGAGAGGTACTGTGGATAACAATTTGTGGGCCAAGCTAATCTGTGCAGAGTCAGATAGTAATCAGAGCATACTCTGTGTGTGTGTGTGTAAAAAAAGCCCATTCATATTTATGTGCATCACATGCACGACACAAGTGTAAAAAAGGTGAGGCACCTTCACTTTTTTGATCCCTTGCAAATGCCCCTAACCACATTGATTTTAGTGTCAAAAGATGGGGCCCTGAGTCTCCTAAATCTTCAATGAAACCTCTATGTAAATTTTCATTAACCTGTTTACTGTGATCAACAGATCAGAAGTACAATTAAAGAAAGCATAGACTCTTTCGTTAATAAATGGTGTAAATACTAACATCAACACAAAGCTGTGAATGGTTTAAATCTCTCCTTCCTCAGGGATCATTCATTTAGCAATATATCATTAACTGGTGCTTGAGTACATTATCCTCTCTATATAATTTTGATTACTTTTAATGCGAATGAAATGAATTCAAATGTACTTTTTGGTCTGACTGTCTCCATTGTGTTTTGAGTAAGGCCCTTGATGCACCACTCAAGCGCTCTTTGTCTTGGAAAATATTTTGCATCCCTGCCTTATGCATTTAAACTACATCCAGGTTCCTAAGACAGGTGGCTATCTGACAATGATTTTCGTAGAAAATATTTAAAGAAGGTGTTATTCCTGAGCAGAAAAGTCCTGAAAGAAACTTTCGATTTATTAGATATCTCACTAAGTTAGATATATTGAAATTAAAAGATTTTTATTTTAAACATTTGCATTCGATAGAATATCGAAACTTACAATTAGTACTGTTCCAATATCATAATTATCCTTTTCATCTACCGTGAGCTTGGTTCCATACCAAAAAGCAAGGGCATAGCATCCAAATGTCAAAAACTGGGACACACCCATTGAAATATTAGTGGTGATAGCCTTTTTTGTTCCAATAGACCTAGCCTCTTCTAGGTTTGCATCATACCTGAAAATAGATCCAGCATGTTAGATTCAGGATAGTTTTATTTTATGTCTTCCCTATAAGCAAACATTTGTACCATTTTTATCATTCCTTTAAAAATATTCACTTCCTGGAGCTGTTGAAATCTCACTGACATTTCCCTGGACCTCTCTTTTTAGAAGACATTTGCTTGAGAAAAGCGGGCACATTTTATCCAGTGATGTTCCATTGAAGAAATTGATGTTCAAGTGCACAATACACATTGGTTGAAATTTGCTCAGCCACAAGAACAAGCAAGAGCACATTATGAACTCTAATGTCATGTGAATTCATTTGATCTCCAAAATTTCATGATTCAACAAAAGGAAAACTCATAAAACTTTATCTTGCATGGCAATTCAAACACTAGGTGATTGTTTCATGTGCAGTTGTATGAAAAAGAAGGACACATACTTTTCATAAGCCAAGTTGCCATCTTCACTGTGAAAACTATCGGCTCCATAAATCTAAGTTGGTGAAGTATGTTCGTATACTAGATTGGAGCACTGCTTTTGCTGCTGATCTCTTCTGCTTCCCTTTAGCTTTTGGAAAGAGGGAAGGGGAATCTAATTATATAATTTCTCATGATATACATAATCTCAGGTCCAAAGGGTAGTTATTTACAGAAGGACCAACAACTTGATGGCTGGAAATCTAAAGACTGGAAAAGGGGATAGGCTTGATATGAGAGTGCCAGCTTTTGATGCACATTCCAGTACTAGCTCATAAAGATCTGGGAAAGATTGCACAAGCATTACTAGTTAACACAGGCAATGTTAACACAAAAATGAACCTGAGGACTGATTGCTATCTTGGCATAAGGCAGTGTCCCACAAGCATGTAAATGTCATCTTACCTTTCTATAGCTCTCTTCTGTCCGTTGAAAGCAACAACTGTCCTGATGGCTGTCAAGATTTCTTCTGCCACAGATCCTGCCTTGGCATAAGCTGATAGCTCCTTTGCAGTCAATACTGATAGTATCTGGTCAAGAAAAAATAATTGAACTCAATTTCTAGAATTAAGTAGTATATTATATTTAAAATAGTATAATTGTTTTAGGTAGCCTTTCCAGTCTAGTGCCCTCGAGATATGTTGGAAGATATTACCATCATTCCTTAGTCAGGATAAGCATTGGTCAGCACTGTTGGAAAGGCATCTGAAGAGCATCATACTGGAGAAACTGGTTTTATCTAATCTAACAGGAAAACAGAAGAGTGTTTTCTGTTTATATACTTTAATTCTGGACTTGAATATATCCTTGAATAAAAGCTTGATGTACGTCTTGTTCTCTGCACAAACGTGTCTACTAATTAAGTTGCTTTGCTGAAGCTGGTTTTAGCTACTTTTTGTTTTAAGCTGTAGATGAGGCTGCCCTTGAAGATCACACAGAAACTGCAACTGATCCAGAATGCAGTGGCTTGAGCAGCTATGGGGGGAAGATGATTTGCTCATGTAACGTGTCTGCTTCAAGAGCTGCACTGGCTACTACTTTGTTTCTGTGTGAAATTCATCTTTTGTTGTCATCTATAAAGCCCTTCCTCATTCAGAATCTGGATATCTGTGAGACCGCTCAGGGCCTATCCTGTAAGATCTGGAAGAGGATGCTCCCTTCAGGTCCCTACCCTTAAGAAATGTCATTCACAGGGATCCCAGAGTGCAGCTTTCTCAGTCATGGCTTCCTTCTCTGGAACAGCATTCCTCTTGATATCAAAAAGGCCCCAACCCCATTAGCTTTTTGTGAAACCTTTAAGTCCAGGCTGCTTCAGTGAGCCTTTGAGGTCTGAAAATGGTTCTTTTCTCTCCTTGAGGGTAACTGTGCATATAGCCTGTGGGTGTTTATTGATACTGGGAAATTGTAACATTGTTGGGTTTAGTTGTGTTAGACTAAACTAAACCCAGGTCTCTCTAGTCTGTGATGTCACAATGCCATTGTCTCCTCTGGAACTACTTAATGATTGCTTTTTTAATGTGCTAGGAAAATTGTTGTGTCTCTGTGTTAAAGCAAAATGGTAGACAATCTTTAGAGAAGGCTATTTCAGAACCATGTTGAAATACAAATACACTTTCACGCATGTTGGTATTTGCATGCACTCCTCTTCCTTGCCATTTTTTTTTCATTTGCAAGCCTTTTTAAAAAAACAAAAACAAAACTTGTCTCCATGGTTTAAAGTGAGAGCCAAAAGGCTCCAATCACAGAGGAAATTATTTAGACTAAACACTGGGCGTGGGGGGGATTGTGTTGGCAGAAACTCTTCAACAGTGAAATAAATTGTTTTGAAGGATTGTAGGTTTTGCTTTACTAGAGATTTTTAAGTATAGGATGGTGCTATCCATTGGAAAAGTTGCAGTAATGAATTTCCTGCATCAGGAAAGAGTTGGACTAGATGATCTTTGATGTGTCCCCTGCCCTAATATGTATACCCCCAGCAACTTACATACGACCATATGGCCCCAGAGACAGCAATAAGAGGGGTAACAGACAATATCACCAGGGTCAGTTTCCATCCATACACAAATCCTATTATAATGCCTGTCAGAAATGTTGAAAAATCTTGAATTATTAAACTGATCTTGTCTCCAATGCCTTTGTGAATTGTGTTAATATCCCTGCGATTTAAAGAGAACAGGAGAGGAACAGTTACTGTCAATTACCTTTATTCACATATTCAGAAGAGACCAACATCCATGAAAATCAAATGTAGTGGCTTACATTTTTATGAGATATTTCAGAGGATAGATGAATATCCACAATTAGTAGTTCCAGAAATCTAGTTTCAGAAGTTTCTTTTTCAGAACACATGTCAAACAAAATATGCCTTACTAAATATATGCCCAGGTAGTAATTTCAGCAGATTCCAAGTTTGAAAAATTGTCAAGAATTAAATTTGCACCCCAGTACAGTTATTATTTTTAATTTTAGCATCCAGAAATAAATGGAAACATCCCCCATTCCACAAAAGCTACTCCTTTCTTTTCTTTTTATACAGGAAGCAAATCTCCCTACACATTGTTCTATACACAAGGATCTGCTCTCTATTGAAATTAATGGAACAATTTATTCCATGCATGAAATACTTTGAAGGGAAGCTGTACATTGGAGAACAATGCTTAATACTGAAACTCTAATGTTTGACAGACTATATTTTTGCTCACCCCATTTTGTGAGTCTCATTTCAATAGAGGGCAATATTCAGAAGCATTCAATAATCATTGTTCTACAATAACAAATGCAGGACAGAACAAAGACCTTAACTCATGCTAATAACTTTGGAATAATATACTGAGCAGAGATCATGGCTATGCAGATGAAGTACAAACTAACAATTATGAAACTCTGTTGAGCATCTGTGAACTCACACAGTTTCTATTGCTTCCAAATAGCCATCAGGTAGGATGCTGGCTTTTGGAAAATGGCACCACACAAAAAGCCTTAGCAGTTTGATCAAGAAAGAGAAAAATGTGGCTTCTTATGCTGAGGTGCTTCTTATGAGTGGTAGCCCAGGAGGGGTCTTTCTCAGTGGTGGCCCTCCAGCTCTGGAAATCCCTCCCTTATGAAGTTGGGTTGGCTTCTACCTTATTGTCCCTCTAGTGTCAGGGAAAAACATTTTTGCTCTATTGAGGCGTATTATTCTAATATTTTAATTTTGAAGTTCCTGTAGAGCTTTAACAAATCTAGTTCTTAATTAGGGTTACCAGACCTCTGGCAAAAGGAGGGCATGTCCTCCTTTTTGTCCTCATGTCCTCCATCCAACAGGCATAACCTTAAAATCAAGTATTGTCCAGCTTTTTGAGTATCTACAAGCTATCTCTTTCTGAACAGCTTTTCTCCACAGCACAGCACTTCCCTAATAAGTGCTAGCCTCAAGTTAACATCTCCCTTCTATGACCTTAATTAGTTGATAGGTACCATCCAGCCAACATGTGCTGCTACCTGAAATTGACAAGATCTTAATCAGTTACCTGCTGAAGGCTTTTGTCTCCTAGCTGGCTCCTGGGGTGAAAGTGCTAGGCAAACAACCCACGCTAGCACATTTCTCTCAATGTGCATTCCCCATTGTCTGCCTGTTTACTCCCTTGTAAGTCCTTCCTCTCCAATGAATATAAATACGCTGTGTCCTTCTTTTATCCCCATTTGTCCTCCTTTCCAGTTGTCTGTGTCCTCCTTTGCCTGTTCAGATACCTAGTAATCCTAGGTCTAATAGGTATTCTGATATTATGCCATCTATGTTTAATCAGTATAAATATTTTTAAATTATAATTTCAGAATGTTGTAAGCTGCCCTCTGAAAACTCTGTTTTAAGGGTGGCAAACATTTTAAAACAAACAAGTAAACCTAATTAGGGAATGTGGTTAATCAATGATATGGAAATACACGTTTGGCCCTAACTGAACCAACCATGGAAATTGGACCTCATTTGGGTCCATGGCAGTGACTGTCTTCTCCAAATTTCATATTAAACAAAACAAAACAAAGCCTCCTTACTCTGTCAGTCTTGTATTCAGTGTTCCAACTGGTGTAGTATCAAACCAGGCCATTTCTTGATGAAGAACAGCAAAAAAGAATTTGTCACGTATCCTTGCTGTTTGTCTTGCAGATGTAGTCACAAAGGTCCAGATTTGAATAAAACTACAAATCAGTACGGCAAAGCCAACTCCAACAAAGTAGTATGCATGCCTGTTGAAGACATCAAGAGTCAATAAACTTGTTAATAATTTATTTCTATATTTTCAGCCCTAAAGCCCCAAATATGGTTCCCCAATGTTAAAAACATGAAGTACATTCTTGCGGACATAAAGTTATATGGGAGAAAGGAAACCAATTTGAACACTCCAAGAGAGTTGCTAATAGTTATACAAACAAATTCAATGTAATTCACTATTAAATAAGGCAACTATAAAGACAGTCAGATATAAACCAGGTACAGATTGGAAGAGGAGCAAAACTGGCTCTAATAGCAAACTGTACAGGTACGTACGTGGCCATTTTACTTTCTATATCTGAAGCAGCTTGAGGACATGCTGAGTTATTCATTTCTGCATTTCCTATAAGGAAGATTACAACAACAGTAGTATCAGAAGATAACTTATAGATACTGGACAGCAATACTGTCAGATAATTTTCACATAGTAGAGTCCTAGAAGGTCCTAGAAGGATAATTTTTATTTATTAAAGATAAACTGCTACTCTCTTTCTAACTTTTAGATTTGATCTCAAAATCTGGTTTTTCAGGCATTTTAATACCAGACTACAAACTGACTGATGTGTGCAATATTATAACTTCCAGATTCTTCAGGATTACATGGATATGTCCACATCAGGTTTTTTTTTCTTTCTTTTGGCAACATCATGAAAGTTATTGTCACTGCCTTCCTTTAGGGTGCTTTTTCAATTTTCCGGTTTAGTTCACAGCCTTAGAATTTCATGATAATTTCTTATCCTTACTAGGTCCAATCCTATACAGTTTTTCTGTGATCAACCAAGGTTAGCTAGGTATAGCCACCTATCATTGAGTTCCCTAAAATAAACTTTATAAAGGCTTATTTATCTTCAAGTAAAGATTAATTAGCAGGAATGTGGATAGATTCAGTTATAGTGGCAATGAGTGCACCATTGAGAGACTTAAAAGAACAGGTTAGGGATAGATCATCATGGAGAAAATCTATCTATTGGTCACTAGGAGTCAAAAATGACTTGATGGCACATAATAAATCAAAGATTAATTTCTCTTATTAAATACTAAAGATCTGGAGAAATGTTTTTCTTATTATATTCCAATAAGATCAATATTGTTGATTAGCATTCAGAGTCTTAGTTCTTCCAATGTTATCAGCCAATGGATTCACATACTGCTCTAAGCATTTATAAGCCACAATTGACTGGTTTGGTGCTATATCCTAATCCAATATATTACAGCCTAGTGTGATAGGCAGCTCTTACCTGTAGACACATTAAAACTAGTTGCCACAAAACTGTTTGTCATCTGGCCAAAGATAATGATGATAATTGGCTGTCCGGTTCCCGTGGCAGCAGCTGTGATGGATCCCAAAATCATTAAAATGATATCTAGAGCATCTGCAAAGCTAAACTAAATTGATAAAGAAAAATATAAATGAAATAGTGAGTGAAGGTTCCAAACAGCTTTAGAAACAAAATTGTCTTGATGATGACAATTACCTGGCTAAGTCCTATGCTGTATCCAGCTTTCATTTTTGGAAGCCAAATTACAAAAAAATTGCTTGTTCACCTTTTACCTCTACGCCAGCTGGATTCCAGATCCTGGTCAGTCTTGTTTCCAGATTTGTCACCCAGTGATCGAATAATTTTTAACAGGTTTATTTGACAGTAAGACAGAAGCATTTGTACATTATTCTTATTTGATGGACTTAATGTATATACTCAAAAAACATTTGCCAACTGTCCAACTGCATTGGTAGACAATTTGGTTCTGAAGATGCCTAATTTGATATCCAACATATTCCCTTCCCCACCCCATTTCATTTTTAAAGATTCTTTAGATTAAAAAGGGGGGAAATGGACAAGTTGCAGAGGAAAATGTCAGAGTTTAATATCATTTTTATTTATCTGAATGCTTCTAGGCCCCTGTATGCATTTTTAGGGGGAGGGGAATTGTAACTTATTACACTGCTTTGAAATGTGTGCATCAGCCTGAATTTTTAAGCATGCTGGAAAAAGATGTTTCAGTCAAAGATTTACAAAGCATGCTACAATTAAGTAACCATTTGCCTCATCTGGGTTAAAAAACTTATATTCTAAACTGGTCCTCTCCCCCATTTCAGAAATAAACAAATAAAAAAGAACCCACATCAATATGATTACACACTAACCAGTTCCAAAAATCCAACTGTCTGATTTTCTTTCTTCTTAAAGGGCTCATTTTTCTTTCTAAAAAGATTTGAGCAGGAGAATAAGTCAACTGAAGCAATTTGTAGCAAATTAAATATGGAAGTGCTTAAGTTAAACTTACATTTTCTTGTTTTTTAAATGAACCTTTTGTGTAGGAGTTTCATCCAGCTGGAAAACAGGGTTGTCACAGCCATTGCTTGAAAACTCTGATGAGAAAGCAGATTAGAATTAGCATCATACTAATAGATCTATCTATACACAATTAAGCCTGTAAAATAACTGCATATGGTATATAATTCTAAAAGGTCTAGATTTGGCATGCTTATGAAGCAACCCTGTAAATGCCATTAAGAAAGTAAACATTTTAAAAAATGCATTGCTATACAGGTAGTCCTCATTTAGTGACCATTCACAGTTACAACAGTGATGAAAAAATAATTTTATAACTAATTCTCACATTTATGACCTTTGTAGGCCTGTAAAGCAAAGGAAATCTGAAGTAAGATCATAAGTACAGTTGCAGCCGCTTCACTTAACAACTGAGTTGCCAGTCCCAGTTGTGGTTGCCAAATGAGAACTACCTGTACAGCTAATATTAGCAAGGCAAAAATAATTGGCTTTCTTCTACCAAATATATCCTTCATCATTAAAACATTTGCATATGTAGCTTTAAAAAGATGCTTATATAGGAAATTGTTCATGCATAATGCAAAAATGACACCATTCCTGACGATGTTTCCATTTAACAACTATTTGAATGTACAGTAGAGTTGAATGAGATGTTTTAATCTCAAATTACTGTTTTTCACACCTTCAACAATGTTCTGTTTCTCTTCCAAAGTGTGAACTGTAGGCCAAAGGCCTCATAATATAAAACACGGCTGTTTATCACCCAATAGTTTAAAACAGGACTTCAATCTGTTAAAGGAATAATACAAGATCTGAGATTAGCCATTCATCAAGAGTTTCTTAGGATGAACTTCAGAGGACTCTCTCCTATCCCACATGTCCAAGTTATGGACATTATCTTATTGTGGTACTGTCTTCTAAACGGAAGGAAAAAAACTTTTTATCAAGTGTAAGAAAGATCATTGCATTTTCTAAAGCATTCTAACCCCAAAAAAGCAGTTTATTTGAATAGTGATTGGTTATAACACAAGGATATTTTTAATATGGGGTGGCCTAGAAAAGGGTATCTAAATATAAATAAATTATTAGAAATATCAGAGTTTACCAGGTCTAGAAACATCATTCACTGCGTAGCTTCCAAAATTATCCTTCATTGATTTGTTCTCTGGCCCAATTTCAGTCAAAGAACCAAATCAGGTTCAAAAAGATCTACATCAAAAGAAACCACATTTCAGAAATAATATAATTTTAAAATTCACATCAAACACTTTTATTAAGACGATCTTCTTAATTTTGGTGTTTAGTCAAAATACCATCTCCCATCCCAAATCTTCAAAAGTTTTGAAGTAAACTTAATTCAATTACTTCCTGTCAGGTTTCCCTGTCATAAAATATTGGTTAAAAAGTATACAGTCTTCAGCATAATCTCAGGGTCCCCTAGAAATTCATCTCACCTCTGCTTATGTCAACTTCATCTTGAAGCAAGGAAACTCAATTGACAGTTCATACCCCATTGCTATGCATGTAGTCTTGTATACTCCATATTCTTGTCTCAGCAAAGCACTATCTGACTATTTTGAGTAACCTTTGAAAAGGATATTTCCCCATCTGTATAGGTGGAGGTGGCAACCTGAGGTCCCCAAGCCTACATGTGATCCTGTCTCCTATGATGCCCCCTGACTGTAATTTCTGGAAACTTGATGGACCAATTCCCTGCCAGTTTGAGAGCGGAAAGGGTTTAAAAGTAGTATAAGCTTCCAGATATATAAATCTCAGTTAAAACAATAACACCCTCAAACCCTTCCCCATCAATCCTCACTCCCTAAAATGCTGCCCATCTGTGATTTACAGTGATAATCTTTATTTTTGACACATAAAGTTAGGGATGCCATAAGCAGTAATGACTTTAGAATATCTAGTTTGGGAAACATGTTTTTTGTTTAATTAGCTTGATATTTAAGTTATATAGATAATTTGTTGTGAAAAGAAGAAAGTCCCTCTAAACATTCTTCAGACAAGATACTTCTGTGAATATTTTTTCCAGTATCCAAGATAGCCAAATCCTTAACCAGTCATATGGTTTCTGCAAGTGTTAGCAGAGCATTCTCCTACTAATTTTTCTGACTCACAGCATATTTCTGTGGACGGAAGGCATCTCTTGTTGAAAACTAGTATCTTCCTAAGGAATTTGTTTCCCCAGAAGCTCTGTAATTTTAGTGAGTGCTCACTTAATATTTTTTTTAAAAAATTATTCAAGAAATGGGCCAAGTTCTCACAGGAAAACACAGTCTTTGGGGATACTATTAAACCTTCCAGTCTACTTTCCAGATGACCATGCAGCCTATTGCACATGGACTCAGCTGGCACTCTTCCAGCTCAGGTGTTAGTTTGGCTCTTGGGAGGGTGGAGAAATCTCTTGCCTGTCTGACAGCCCTGGCTTTTGCTGTTTGTTCTGGGGTAAATGAGAAAGAGGCTTCTTTTAAGATACAGGCTTTTCAAGCACCTTTTTCAAGCTATAAGACATGATATAGATGAATAGATTACCTTAGCTTGCAACTTATATATTCATTTCCCTGGAAATGTGGAATAGAATTCAAGCAGAACCTTCCTCCTCAACCATCAAAATGGGCATTATACCAAAAACCAGAGAGATCACAACTGAGTCCATCTCCTTCTGTCTTCTTCAAGCAAATCTTAGTAATGCCAGATCAGACCCCTTATCATGAATTAAATCCTTGATAGCTAAAGCCTGCCTTCCAATTAAGCCAACAGAACCTTAAAACATGGTGGGTTACTGACAGAACAATGATGATTCAGTTTGGTTGACAGATGATCCCAATTTCACTAGCAGCATCCTCTCCTTGCCATGTCTTTTCTCTCCACTCCATGGGTTCACAGATGTATGAAGTATAAACTACATATTTGTGTACCAATACAGAGTGACTTGATTCATGTATTAGATTCAGACATTTTTTTCCTAAACCATGGTTTATTAAATGATTAGCTGGGTTTACATAACATGGTGAAAATATTTGGATGATATGCTAAGGCTTACAGGAAATATACATATTAGTATCTTTTTTTAAAGTAATAATTTTATTAGAGTTTACATGTCCAAAAATAAAAGACTGCCACAAACTAAAGAAAATATAAAGTAAAGTAATGAAAAAGAGAAATGCAAAGAGAAGAAAAAAAAAAAAAAAGAGAATACGTACAAGATGACTCCTCCCTCCTTCCGGACAAATATAAACAATTTCAGTAACTTAACACCTTCCCTAGTATTTCAATTAAAAAAAAAAAATCTCTTCTTCCCATAACTCATCCCATATCAATAATCAAAGTATAAAAACTCATCATTCAGTCCTAAGCAGCAAAAGTCTATTAAGAGCTACCAAAAATAACATATGTATTTTAACCTTAATAAAAAAAAATCCATTTTGTAATCTAATTTATTACTTTCTCCAAGAAGTAAAGCAAAAGAAATCTCTCCCCACTTATAAACAGATCCTTAAATCCTCATCATGGGAATATACACATTAGTATCTTATTTCCCAACCTAAATAGCCCTTTAACCTTGCTCCATGGCTTTCTTAATGCTAAGCATGTTGTCCAAACACAGATTGGTTACCATTTCCAGTTAGCATGGACTAAAATCTGAAATGGCTTGCACTAACTGGAAACAGTGGTTTCTGTGGGTTTAGATAAACCATGAGTTCCCCAGACAAGCTTCTTAGACCATAAAGAGTGATTTATAGTCCATAATGGCTTGAATCCTACAATAAGCTCCACCAAAACCAAGCAAGCCACTTCATGACATAGAGCAAAGTATGGATCACATTACAGTGTGTGTATAGGGATGACATTGGAGATAGTGAGATACAAAAGGACTTAAACTTCAACACCCTTTATTTTCCTTCTTTGTTGACCAAAATCCAGAGCTGTTTCACCAGTTATATAAACATATATATCCCAGTTACTTATGTCTAATATGTTTAAACATGTATAAAATGTATAGGAATTTTCTTAAATAGGATTGCTGACATAATACTTTAAACAGAGACCATAGCCTCATTTCCCATCTGTAACCAAATTCCTCTCTTGTTAAAGGGATTATCATTGTGGTTCATAGCAACTATCAACTCTGCAAACAAAGGAGTGCATAGAAATTCATAATCTGAGGTGCCTAGATGAATGGGAAAGCCAGTTTGAGGTAG